AATATTTAATAATGAAGAAAGTCAATATACAATTGAGATCGATCTCAAATGCAGGAACAGAGCAACTTCAGGGACATGTTTTTTCTATATTTCTATATTTCTGAGACCCATAATAAATGCCTAGAAACAGCATGATAGGAGCCCTTTAATGTAATAACACGTATTGCATGTTTCCTGTCTCGCAGAGGGCTGCTCTCTCCCTCTGGACCCCGGGTCCTGTCGACAGTACGTCGTTCGATGGTACTACGACCCCGAAGCTAACGCCTGCGCTCAGTTCTGGTTCGGAGGCTGCGAGGGAAACACAAACAACTTTGAGTCTGAGTCCGGCTGCAGGCTCTCCTGCGTCTACACGTAACAGAGTGTGTGTGGGGATGAACAAAGAGTGTGTGTTGGGATAAACAAAGAGTGTGTGTTGGGATACACAAAGAGTGTGTGCAAAGACAAACACATCACAGACTGGTGAAGGACGACCTCACTGTCCCTCAAACTGCACATTTTTACACAACTACTTATATCTGTTCTGGGATGTTTAACCTAAATGTTACAATATATTCAATATAAACCGACAAGAGCATCAAAAATGTTGGTTTAACGTGTCACCCACTGGACCAAAAACACACTGACATCTGGAGGGTGTCCTTGGTGGTTATAACCAATATTTCCTAGGAGCTAAAGTGTTTTCTTTTGGACAAAATCTGAAGGGATTTGGACAATTATTACACAGAACTTGCCAGCATGATGCCCTCTTCACAGCAACCAGACTGCAGTGATTTCACTCAAATAAACACTGAATTCAGACTCTACAGAAACACAAGTAAACCCATCATCTTTGAATACGTTTTAATATACATATTTAAAAAGTAAAATGACCATCGTAACTGCTTTCTACTTCTTATAAGGATAAAAAAAATACATATATATTAAAAAAAGAGATTTAAATGCCACCTTAAAAAAAAAAGAAAACTTGATAAATGACCAAAATAACTCTAAATTTCAATTATTTAAAAAAAAAAATGTAAGGTGACCATCGTAACCGCTTTCTACTTCATATTGACGCTGGGGTAAAAAAAATGAATAAAATAAATTAAAGGAAAAAAATGCCACTTCTAAAAAAAAATATATATGAAATGAATAAATGAGACGGAGAGCCCTTCATTATTCTGTTTTTTAGAAAAAGGTTTAAAACAAAAAAATAAAACATGAGGATATGAGATTTGAACTACACGATGAATGAGGCCGGAAGAATTCCTGCAAATACATTTATTGGGATTTTTATAGAATGTTTTAAGAAAATGCAATCATTTAAAGGTGGGGTAGGTAAGTTTGAGAAACCAGCTCGAGTGCGCTAGAATTTGAAAATACACAGCCGGAAAAAATCTGCCACTTCCTTACAGAGCCCCTCCTCCAACACACACGAACGCGCACATGACCAATGAGGGCACGAGATGAGTTTGTGCACAGATGGAAGGCTGACAGGCAGGTAGGCCATCCAGTTATTTTAGCCGGGCCGGCTCAGATGATTGGTCGTGCTTTTTACAGCGCCACGGCTTCCACAGATGACATTTTTTTATGGATTATGAAGCACTTCAGATATTCATTGCTATCGGGATGTTAAGAGCATTCCATGGAATATAACAAAAAGTGTATCTCGAGCCGGTTTCTCAAACTTACCTACCCCACCTTTAAATTCAGCCTTAACTTTGTGTATAATGATAAACGGGATGTAGACAAAATAAAAAGTGAAAAACCTGAGGTAATGAGCTCATTATTAATAAGAGGATCCAGAGTGTTTACCCCATCATTTGTGTATTATTAACAATATATCAATAGTCTCAATACTGGCACGTTTCGATACCTGTATTAAAACATATTCTTCTATATCTGGCATTAAATGTAATTCCTAATAACAGATTATACATGTTAAGGATGACCCTTCATTGTTTATTCAGCATTATGTCCGTAACCTTTTATTTACCCAGAGAGCATCTGTTCTGATCAACAGGGTCCACTTCAATGACTTCCTGACTCATGTCTCTTCCTTATTTGATTTGCTTTTCATGGGGACACAAACAGAGAAACTAAACAGTCCTTGTGTTTGAATAGTCTTTCTCCAAACAGAGGAGATGCAGAGAGACAGGTGTGTTCTGATGTTCAGGTACACCTGGAGCAACGGGCTGTGGTTCAGATAACATCATGTCTCATTCAGCCATTTGGAAAACCTGTTCTTCTCCTGGGTAAATACTCCTTTCTGCACACAAACCTCAGACACATGTACAACGTTAGATACACATCTCACTTCCTTAGAACACAGGAATGGTCTTTGAGAGATTTCTTTTTTGGAAGAAGTGTATTTGCTTTCCTGCTCAGCATCAGAGGACGAAGCCTTTGTTGATCCCATGACCAGTCAAGTCAACTTTAGTGTCAATCTTTCAGTTTCAGAGATCGAAATACAGTTTACAGAGGAATACAAAATACAAATATATATACAAATATGTATAAAAACATGTATATATATATATATATATATATATATATATATATATATATATATATATATATACACACACAATCAACAGACACAATCAATGTCTGGATGTTATGTATCTTTCACGCTTTAAGCTAGTCCAAATAAAAGGTGGCTAACAGGTGCTAACGTGCTACATCAGTCCAGCTGCAGCTTCAGAAAGGGAGACCAGGGGACACTAAAGAGTGACGCACACAGCTGGGAGACCAGGGGACACTAAAGAGTGACGCACACAGCTGGGAGACTAGGGGACACTAAAGAGTGACGCACACAGCTGGGAGACCAGGGGTGTTTCTCAATCGCGAGTAAAGCTGCTTCCGAGCCACTATTTCAAGCATACTACGTCATCGAGTGCCGCCGAAGTACTGTTCCAATCTCCAGTATACTTGGAAATCTACCGAGCCCGGCGTACTCCGTTTGGAGAAATATCGAGTGTGCACATGAGTAGACTTCGCGGCCTTAAAATCCCCACAATGCTTTGCGCACGGACCAATTTCCCCAAATCTGTGGCGGAAGATGTAAGGCGGGGCCTCTCATGTGACGCACACCTGCACACTTGCTAGCGTGTTCCACACTTCGTTTTTCCGAATGCCAGGAAGTATTCTTGACTCGCTTCTGAAGCAAGACGCTCGGCAGACATGTGCTACCAAGCAAGCGTACTCGCGATTGAGAAACACCCCGAGGGACACTAAAGAGTGACGCACACAGCTGGGAGACCAGGGGGCACTAAAGAGTGACGCACACAGCTGGAGACCAGGGGGCACTAAAGAGTGACGCACACAGCTGGGAGACCAGGGGACACTAAAGAGTGACGCACACAGCTGGAGACCAGGGTTGCAGTCGAATAGTCCATTTAGCTTAGGAACCTTCCTAACGGAGTGAAATGACCGAGAAATGATATCATGAAAGTTACGGTGCTTATTAAGCATTTTAAAACGTATGTGGTAAGTTGCCAAAGTGCTTTGTTTTGAACGTTCATCAGTATTATAATCAAAAAGAGAAATATGAACGTTAGTTTTTACTGAAATGATCAAATAAAGTCAACATTTCACAGTCTTTACTGAGCTGTGTGGGGTTTGTTCAACTTTTAAAAGATGTTTGAATGGTGATATACACAGTGATAGATGTTAAGGACTAACGTTTATAATAAATACATTTGTATTGATTTTAAGATCTTTTCATACAGTCATACGTATTGGGATCATTTGTATTAATGTGGACCGGAGGGAGAGGGAGACGAGCATAAGTTTCACTTTCCTTTTTTATTTCAATTCCAACTTTGGTCATGAAGAATATGTTTCTCTGTTGTCCACGTTCATAAAGCATAAAACAACAGCATCAGAGCACGGTGCAGAGTCTCTAGATGAGTTTACAGTAGTCCCTCGTTCTTATTAAACATCCATGTAGTCCGCTGATTCTCTGAAGCACCACAGTCTCTTCTCCGAAGTCCTTTTGAATTCTCCTATCGACTATCCCTTAACCCCGTGACGTTTCACTCAGAGGTCAAGGGATAGACGATAGGAGCTGATTTTTGGACTATCCGACTGCAACCCAGGGGACACTAAAAAACTTTGGGGGATTATAAAGTCGGCAAACTGTCCTTTAGGCAGAGTTATAAATGATTTATGATGCTTTGAAGAGTTGTTAACATTGATGGTTTCCTATAACTATAAAGACTGCTATCAGGAAACATTGACATATTTCCGCTCAGTTTATTTCTTATTACAGTAATGAGTCATAACAATACTACAATGTTTAACGAGCATCAGGGCCATCTGCACCGTGAGTAAAGTCAATGAGTGAACTGATGCTCCAGCTGTGCATGAAACTCTTCACACGTGTTGTTAGCATGTTCAGATCTGGGGTTTGTCTTGGTATGAAATGTTTCTGTCTGTAGGGTTTTAAAAGTGATGGTTCATTGATCATTTAACAATGTTTTATTCTTAACCTGTTTATCATATGTTTTGTATACAATGTTGGAACTACTTAAAGCTGTAGTTGTTCTAGTTCCTCTTAACAATCGTATATTAACTCCATTATTATGAACGCTGTATGGGAAGAGACACTCCACTGTAAGAAATGTAGTATTTTAATAACGTTGTATGGGAAGAGACACTCCACTGTAAGAAATGTATTATTTTAATAACGTTGTATGGGAAGAGACACTCCACTGTAAGAAATGTATTATTTTAATAATGCTGTAAAAGAGCCAGAAGGAATAGGAAACGTAGAACATGAAAAAAACAAGATCAACTTTTCATTCAATAAATAAAATATAATTTCTTAAACATTTTCCATTTGTATAATCTATAACGCTCAGAGACATGACGTTTGATATCAAATACACACGTGTTGTTTATCGTGGTTACTTCCTCTCTGTCTTCTTTTCCCAATTCCAACCCGCCCCCTACACCCTTTGTTATTTGCATCATGTACCCTAACCCCCCCCCCCCCCCCCCCACAGTTACAACAGCACCACGCAGTTTGAACACAGAGAATAATATTTCATGATATTCACACGACTCTTTTGGCTCTTGCTCATGTAGGTCTCAGTCCTGCTGATCCTACTATGTCTCTATTCATACACACTTAAAAACAATTGCAATAAGGGGTATGATGTAGTTTTAAAAAGGATGAACAAAAGGCTCCTGTCAGAAACAGATGAAGTATGGATTGCAACTAACATTCATCTACAGCAGGGGGGTCCAAAGCTATTTCTCCGAGGGCCACATACAGAAAGATATACGAAGTGCTGGGCCGCTCACTAGAGGTGATTAATATCGCCTTTAAGTTCAGTTATAAGTTAGCACAATCAATCAAATGTAGGAAACGTGTGCCTGATACTGAAACCGGCTTCATCACAGCTCTCCAGACGGTTTCATTTATCCTGTTAGCAGCTCATTCCTTAAAACAGAAGCTTCAGATTGATGAAGAGGAAAAAGGAAGGGTCTATTTCAAGCTTGTTATGGAAATAAGTTCATGGGCTTCTTCTCATCAACTAAGATTTGTTAGAAAATGTTTTCAAGTTGAATTGAGTGAATGTATTTGATTCAAATGGTCTGCGGGCCGCATCTGGCCCCCGGGCCGTAGTTTGGACACCCCTGGTCTACAGCATCAACAGGTTCAAATAAGGCCTTCAAATACAACTTCTTAGTTAGAAATGACTCAAAGATCTCACATTGAAAGCAAGTTACGTTGGACTCTGCACCTCAACATGTTCTGTGGTGTTGGATTTAGTTTTGTCGTCCGGATGATATCTGTATCTGTATCCGTAGGCCCTCAGATGGTGCGTCAGATACTCCAGAACGTACATCTGTGGTGGGCGGATGTAGTGAAAGGAAACGGCAAAATCTGAGCAGCAACCCGGACCCTGAGGGAAGATAATCACAGAGGTCAGATTAGTGGCTCCTCCTCCGTACAAACACACAACTGATTTCTATCTTATATATTTGTCTTGTTCTAGGTCTGTATAACTTGAGTTTCTCATGGTCTGCATTTGTCCTTCTGGATTTCTGTAAGGACTTAAAGTCACAGGGAGACTCACAAGGAGGAGGAGAAATGACCGTTATTTACTTTAAATGTATGTTATTGTACTTAACATGCTAACAGGACTGTACTTATACATCTCTTTATCTAGGGGAGCTAACACACACACACACACACACACACACACACACACACACACACACACACACACACACACACATACCATCTACATCACTTCAGGGGACATTACATTGACTTACATGCATTTCCTGGAGATTTATCCTAACCTTAACCATAACCAACACATGCCTAACCCTAACCCTAACCAAGTCTTCACCCTAAAATGTATGATTCCCCTCATGAGGACCTCCATTATGTCCCCATAAGGGAGGCGAGTCCACACACGTGACTGTGTAAACAGATTTAGGTCCCCACAAGTATAGTAATGCTAGGCCACACATACACACACACACACACACACACACACACACACACACACACACACACATGCACAGTTTATTTTATTGGGTTAATGTTATTTGAACAGTCTGTAATGATTTGGTTCAGCAAACAATGACGTTGTTAGCTGGTTAAATATTAAGTGTGTCATTATTTGATGTTGTAATTGATTGACAGCTCTAGTCAGAGGTGAGAAGTAGTGGAGTACAAATACTTTGTTACTGTACTTAAGTACATGTTTCTGGTATCAGTACTTTACTCCACTACTTATTTTTCAGACCACTTTTTACTTTGACTTCTTACATTTTGAACTCAAATACCTGTACTTTCTACTTCTTACATTTTGAACCCAAATACCTGTACTTTCTACTTCTTACATTTTGAACACAAATACCTGTACTTTCTACTTCTTACATGTTGAACACAAATACCTGTACTTTCTACTTCTTACATTTTGAACACAAATACCTGTACTTTCTACTTCTTACATGTTGAACACAAATACCTGTACTTTCTACTTCTTACATTTTGAACACAAATACCTGTACTTTCTACTTCTTACATGTTGAACACAAATACCTGTACTTTCTACTTCTTACATTTTGAACTCAAATACCTGTACTTTCTACTTCTTACATTTTGAACTCAAATACCTGAACTTTCTACTTCTTACATGTTGAACCCAAATACCTGTACTTTCTACTTCTTACATTTTGAACCCAAATACCTGTACTTTCTACTTCTTACATGTTGAACCCAAATACCTGTACTTTCTACTTCTTACATGTTGAACCCAAATACCTGTACTTTCTACTTCTTACATGTTGAACCCAAATACCTGTACTTTCTACTTCTTACATTTTGAACCCAAATACCTGTACTTTCTACTTCTTACATTTTGAACTCAAATACCTGTACTTTCTACTTCTTACATTTTGAACTCAAATACCTGTACTTTCTACTTCTTACATGTTGAACACAAATCCCTGTACTTTCTACTTCTTACATTTTGAACACAAATACCTGTACTTTCTACTTCTTACATGTTGAACCCAAATACCTGTACTTTCTACTTCTTACATTTTGAACTCAAATACCTGTACTTTCTACTTCTTACATTTCCCAAACAGGCTGGTTCCTTTAGTTTGAATGTGTGTTTGGTGGCGTGATCATTATTATTTAGAGTCATTGCGTGCCTATTGATTTGAACACGATCCGTGTATCCATCATTTCCTGGTCTTCTCTAAAGAAGAGGGACCAATGAAAACGTTGTCATGTTGCCGTTGTTCAGCATGGAAACATTCATTAGCTAACAATGACATTATTGTTCTATTAATTAGTTATTACATGTACAGCACTTTGGCCCGACCAAAAATCGCTTTTAAATGTGCTTTATAAATAAACCTTGATTTGATTTGATTTGATTTGATTTAATATAAAGGGAGGTCAGGTACTCTTTAAAACAGCTGCTAGTTATGGGTACTTTTTACTCAAGTACATTTCAAAGCCCATACTTCTTTACTTTTACTTGAGTAAAGAAGTTTAGTCAGTACTTCTACTTTTACCAGAGTATTTTTAAACACGAGTATCTGTAATTCTACGTGAGTAAAGGATGTGTGTACTTCTCCCTCTCTGGTTCTAGTGGTTCTTACCTCTATTGGAGTATAGAAGTCGTAGATCATAAACCAGGGTCTTCTTCTCGGAGGAGTCCTGATGACGTAATGGTCCAGAGGAAACGGGTGAAATGTTTGTCTCCCCTTCTCATCTCTGGTGTCTCCCAGCTCCACCTCCATCGTCTCCATACATTTCCCCAGAGCCATGTCCTCTATGGCAGAGAAGTGTGTGCATTTCCCCGTCTGGAACCCCGTGGTAAAGCGTCTCAAAGCTTCTTTACTGAGCACATATCCGGCTCCTCCGCTCATGTAGCCTTTTTTGATGAACGGGGCAAAGCGTCTTCCCAAATACCACGGCTTCTCCGTATCGAACCGGGACAACGTGTGGCGCAGATTCTCCATCACCACGAAAGTGTCGTCGTCCGCCTTCAGAAACCAGTCCATATCGTGCATGTGGTGCTGGTGGAGGAACTGGAACGCTCTGATGGTTTTCCAGTACAGGTTTTCCCTCCCCTCGCTCACATTCAGCCCCACGGTGGGGAAATCTGTGGATTTGGAGCTCATGTACAGAACTCGGTCACAGTGTTTCGCCCAGGTCGCTCTCACGTGCTGGGTTCGAGTTTCCAAGTATTTGGGCATCGTCATAATCCAGCACAATATCCGAATGGTGCCGTTGGATTTAACCGCTGCCGCTTGGTTCTTAACTGGAAGAATGAAAGAGAAAGACGTGTCAGAAATGTGTTGCATGGATATTTTAGACCTGAGGTTTATCTGAGACATCTTCTATGATATAATAATTATTATTATTTATACGGCACATTTACAAAATGACACATCACCAGTTAAAAATACACAGGAAGTTCCCCTCAGATCAGATGTTAAGAACTTTACAGATACATGCAGGAAAATATAAAATGTTAACAGGTTAAGAGACACGAGGAGGTCAAAGGTGAGATAATACAAATAAAATAAATAAGACTTAAGACTAAGTGAAGCGAAGCAACAATATGAAACCCTATCAAATAAAGTAAACTTATAGGTACAACAAAAATAAAAAGATAATAGTAATAAAAACGTCATAATTCTAATAAAGATTAAACCAACGTAAAAGGAAATGTTGCCATTAAAACTGTTAAATAAATAATGTAAGATAAAACCCTTTAAAAGAAATAAAACAATATAAAAGTAGGTAAATAATAAAGACTAAAAGACCATTTAAAGGGGGGGGGGGTCGCTAATACAAATCTAAAAAGAGGTGTCTTTAGCTGTCGTTTAAAATGTCCCCTCCATTTGCAACATCATCAAGGACAAATAAAAAGACAAGAAACACTGAAACAGACATTGAACTTATCAATAAACCAGCTGTTTCTAAACCAGTCAGAACTGGTATGAACGGTGTTATTAGGAGCAGCCTCTCTTTCCTACCAGATCAATACTGAAGTATTTCATCCAAGATATTGTGATATTTGAGTTCTTCCATGTAGCCCAAGCATGTTGTTGAAGCAGATCATAGATGCTGTACATTTATTATTTTGTTATTGGATTTTCACTTTTGTTGAAATTACTGTAACGACTGAAGTTCTTCTTCATTTTTATTAATGTCACTGTGTCCTAATTACGTCCCCCGGTAATGTTTCACACACACACACACACACACACACACACACACACACACACACACACACACACACACACACACACACACACACACTCTCACACACACACACACACACACACACTCTCTCTCTTTGTTTGCCTTATCTTTTAATCTTTATTCCAGTTCCTTTATTGGTTTAATCCTCTATGGTGTCATTGTCTCACCTCTTCCTCTGTTGTCAACAGAGGTGGGAAGTAACTAAGTAAATTTACTCGAGTACAAAGTCATTCAAACTAGCTGCACCTTTACCAGCTTTGAGAACACTTTCATGATCAATCATTATAAAACATATCATATATATTATTCTGAAATGGACCAATCTGCACAATGACTACTTTAACTATATTTTGATGATAATACTTTTCTACTTTCACTTGAGGAACATTTTGAATGCAGGACTTTTACTGAAACAGAGTATTCCTACACTCTGGTACTTCTACTTTTACTCAAGTACAAGATCTGAGTACTTCTACTTTTACTCAAGTACAAGATCTGAGTACTTCTACTTTTACTCAAGTACAAGATCTGAGTACTTCTACTTTTACTAAAGTACAAGATCTGAGTACTTCTAATTTTACTAAAGTACAAGATCTGAGTACTTCTACTTTTACTCAAGTACAAGATCTGAGTACTTCTACTTTTACTCAAGAACAAGATCTGAGTACTTCTACTTTTACTCAATTACAAGATCTGAGTACTTCTACTTTTACTCAAGTACCAGATCTGAGTACTTCTACTTTTACTCAAGAACAAGATCTGAGTACTTCTACTTTTACTCAAGTACAAGATCTGAGTACTTCTACTTTTACTCAAGTACCAGATCTGAGTACTTCTACTTTTACTCAAGAACAAGATCTGAGTACTTGTACTTTTACTCAAGTACAAGATCTGAGTACTTCTACTTTTACTCTAGTACAAGATCTGAGTACTTCTACTTTTACTCAAGTACAAGATCTGTGTACTTCTACTTTTACTCAAGTACAAGATCTGAGTACTTCTACTTTTACTCTAGTACAAGATCTGAGTACTTCTACTTTTACTCAAGAACAAGATCTGAGTACTTCTACTTTTACTCAAGTACAAGATCTGAGTACTTCTACTTTTACTCAAGTACCAGATCTGAGTACTTCTACTTTTACTCAAGAACAAGATCTGAGTACTTCTACTTTTACTCAAGTACAAGATCTGTGTACTTCTACTTTTACTCAAGTACAAGATCTGAGTACTTCTACTTTTATTCAAGAACAAGATCTGAGTACTTCTACTTTTACTCTAGTACAAGATCTGAGTACTTCTACTTTTACTCAAGAACAAGATCTGAGTACTTCTACTTTTACTCAAGTACAAGATCTGAGTACTTCTACTTTTACTCAAGTACCAGATCTGAGTACTTCTACTTTTACTCAAGAACAAGATCTGAGTACTTCTACTTTTACTCAAGTACAAGATCTGAGTACTTCTACTTTTACTCTAGTACAAGATCAGAATACTTCTACTTTTAGAGTACTTTTCCCTCTGGTTTTCAACTGGTTTTAAAAAGTGACTGAAAAACAGACGGCATATGAACCACAGTTGATAATAACTCGATGCCTACCTGCATGATGATGATCGTGTTTGATGAAATGTCCTCGTCTCCCTTTTATAGAATTTGAGTCCAACAGGAAGTGAAGGCAGAAGAATCCCATCAACAGTCCCGTGGTGAAGATGAAATTAGACGTGAGGTTCTTCATCCTCTCGATTCACCTAGAGACACCACGAGGGATCAGTGAAACCACAAGGCTCATGGGCAGCTGCCAGGAGGGAAGCTACCTTAATAAATAAACCATTAACAGTCATTTGAACAACACGGTTTGGGTAAAACAGGAAAAGGTTGTTAACGGGGAAATAAGATTAAAGCAGTTATTTACAAGAAAAAACTCACAAAATGTACAAGGAGAACATGACAATAAACACCAGTTTGTAAGTGTTTCACCATTTAGATTACAGCTCAAAAACCCATGCTTAAGTGTGCACTCTTTAAAAAATAAAGAAAGTAGGAAAGTAGTTCCAATAACAACAGGTTAATATTTAATATATGAGAAAAGTACTTTACCTGATTAAAGGTTAGTCCTAAAATGAATTGTTCTGTGTGTTCAGTGAGACACAATCAGAGCCCTGCTCTCTGACGGCTGTCTCCACGGTGTCAAATTCAGGTTAGTCAGAAACACAATAATACAATCCTGTCAGTCAACTTCACATACAATGGAGATGGAGGAGGAGGAGGAGGAGGAGGAGGAGGAGGAGGAACGCAACAGGTGCAACAGGAAAGCATCAACAAAACATAATTTGCTGCCTTTCAAATACATACTTTAAGAATGAAGTACTGCAGCTTTTACAGAGTACATAACGTTGCATGTACATTTACTACTTCTTCCATAGAGTAGACCTCATTGCTCATAAATCCGTGATAACAACAACTGATAAGAAGTCAAGTGACCGTGCTGTAGTTCCTTTATAGCCCAACATTAGCCCCCTTTAGCGTAGCGGTGGTGACGTGAAGTCATGTGACTGCTGTAGTTTCTTTATAGCCCAACATTAGCCGCCTTTAGCTTAGCGGTGGTGACGTGAAGTCATGTGACCGTGCTGTAGTTCCTTTATAGCCCAACATTAGCCTCCTTTAGCTTAGCGGTGGTGACGTGAAGTCATGTGACCGTGCTGTAGTTCCTTTATAGCCCAACATTAGCCCCCTTTAGCGTAGCGGTGGTGACGTGAAGTCATGTGACCGTGCTGTAGTTCCTTTATAGCCCAACATTAGCCACCTTTAGCTTAGCGGTGGTGACGTGAAGTCATGTGACCGTGCTGTAGTTCCTATATAGCCCAACATTAGCCACCTTTAGCTTGGTTTGGCACTTTGCATGTTGTACTGATTTGCATGCCTCTCCCTGTTGGGTGTGGTGATAAAGAAATGCTTCGCTGATCAGACAGGTTGCATCACTCCATATATTTTTTAACAGTCATTTCATTGTACGATCTAGGAAGGCGTGCTCACATTAAACATGACATCTTATTAAATGACGCACTAGTAATATTATAACTGTAATAGATTATAGCCTTTGCATCAGTGTTGGTAAAACCTGTCAGGTGAGTTGAGAATTCCTCCCAGATTAGATCAATGCTCCCATGCACGACAGCATGATAATATAGCACACAGAAGTTGATTGATTACCTGAAACGATTTATGATTCAAGGATTCAAGGCTTTTATTGTCATTGGTACATAGCTAAAGTGTAGTTATGTTGAATGAATGTAAGGATGCGTGGAAGGGTAGGACCCAAATGCAGACTATCATAAAAGGTAAACGGTCTTGAAACAAAAACGAGCTTTATTCCCAAAGCTTAACAATAGCATGGCATGAAACACACAGGTTCTACAGAAAACTGACCGTGACCAACATGGTGGGAGACAGGAGAAACAAACAATGAACCGACAGGGGAACACAGGAAGAGACAAGACTAAATACAGAGAGGGGTAATCACAAGACGAGACACAGCTGGGGTAAGGGAGGCAGAAACACAAGGGCAACAGGTGAACACAATCAAACAATCAGACACACCAGGGAAACTAATGGCGCATTTCCATTGCAGCGCGTAGCTCGCTTTAAGCGTGCCGTGTCGTGCCGTCCCCTTTTTTGGTTGTGCTTCCACTAGGCCTCGTTCCGGCGCGGCACGGCGCGGGGCCACTTTTTCCCCTCTTTTCTGGCCCTAGAAAATTGTGGTTCTATCGGGGCCAACAAACAGGGCTGAGTCGGGCTGAGTATGCTAAACTAGAGAGAGGAGCGCTGGCAAGAGGGCTAGAACTACAACAAGATGGACATATTTGACCGTGATTTAATTGTAATACACGTTTCAAAATGATGCCGAAGTAACAACATACTGATACCGGTTAGTAAAAACCATGAATTAATGCTTTGTCAAGTCTGCAGACAGACGGCAGGCGAAAAACCTTTTAAAATTCGTGTTTTTCTAGATGGAGATTGGCTAAGCTAACGCAGTATATGCCCCGACCGTCCACACTCACAACAACGGCCTATACAGACATAAATTAAGCAGCGACTGTATTCACCATGACACAGGCAGTCTGTGGTGTGTACTTGTTTAACTTTTGTCGAGTTTCTGAACATATATAAGGAGCTGTGAGCTCTGAGTGCTCACAGCTAACGGCTGTGTTGTGTTTCTGGATTTCTCATTGAAGATGACGTCACGGCTCCGCCTACACTGCGTTACTACCCAGTTCCTAAACTGTAATGGAAGCGCAGCATGAAGTGAGTCGGCCCTGTTAAGGCCCAACGCGGCCAAGCCGTACCGAGCCGTACCGAGTGTGGCCGAGGCCGACCGTGTAGTGGAAATGCGCCATAAGACAGGAAGGCAAACACAGGAAGAAGGAACAGAGAAGACACGAGGAAAACATTTCAAAACAAAACAGGAAACCAGAAAAAGACAAGACAAAACACAACACAGACAGATCGTGACATAACCCCCTCCTCAAGGGACGGATCCCAGACGTCCCAAAAAACATAGTCTAACACTTCAAAAAAGGGTGGGTGGAGGGGGTCCGGAGGACGGGCCCGAAAGGGGTCCCGGGCGGACGGCCCGGGGGCAAGGCAGAGTCCAAAAAGGGGCGACGGCCACAGCGGGCGAACTCAGGGGGCCGGGCATGAGAGCAAAGGCAGCGGCTCTCAGGGGACCGGGCTCGAGGGCGAAGGCAGCGGCTGGAAGAATCAGGAGGCCGAGCCCGAGGGCGAAGACCGCGGCTGGAGAACTCAGGAGGCCGGGCTCGAGGGCGAACAAGAAGGCGGCGACGAGACAGCTCCGGAGGACGGGCAGGAAGGCGCCGACGGGACAACTCCGGAGGACGGGCAGGAAGGCGCCGACGGGACAGCTCCGGAGGACGGGCAGGAAGGCGCCGACGGGACAGCTCCGGAGGCCGGGCAGGAAGGCGCCGACGGGACAGCTCCGGAGGCCGGGCAGGAAGGCGCCGACGGGACAGCTCCGGAGGCCGGGCAGGAAGGCGCCGACGGGACAGCTCCGGAGGACGAGCAGGAACCAGTATCGGCCGGACAGGAACCGGAGCCGACGGGACAGGCGTAGACGGGGTCCTGAACATGACATGGGCTGGTGTCGACTGGACCCCCAACGGAACAGGACACAGAGTTGGCAGGACCCCCGGTGGAACAGGTGTCGGCGGGACCTCCAACAGGACAGGACACAGAGTTGGCAGGACCCCTGGCAGGACAGGTGTCGGCGGGACCCCCAACAGGACAGGACATGGATTTGGCAGGACCCCTGGCAGGACAGGTGTCGGCGGGACCCCCAACAGGACAGGACATGGAGTTGGCAAGACCCCCGGCAGGAGAGCAGTCGGCGGGACCTCCAACATCACAGGACATAGGGTTGGCAGGACCCCCGGCAGGAGAGTAGTCGGCGGGACCTCCAACATCACAGGACATAGGGTTGGCAGGACCCCCGGCAGGAGAGTAGTCGGCGGGACCTCCAACATCACAGGACATAGGGTTGGCAGGACCCCCGGCAGGAGAGTAGTCGGCGGGACCTCCAACATCACAGGACATAGGGTTGGCAGGACCCCCGGCAGGAGAGTAGTCGGCGGGACCTCCAACATCACAGGACATGGGTAGGCGTCGGCCATAGAGCCAACAGGACACGGGGTGCTGGAGTCGGCCGGACCACCGACAGAACACGAGGGGCTGGAGTGGGCCGAACCACCGACAGGACACGAGGTGCTGGAGTCGGCCGGACCACCGACAGGACACGAGGTGCTGGAGTCGGCCGGACCACCGACAGGACACGAGGTGCTGGAGTCGGCCGGACCACCGACAGGACACGAGGTGCTGGAGTCGGCCGGACCACCGACAGGACACGAGGTGCTGGAGTCGGCCGGACCACCGACAGGACACGAGGGTGCTGGAGTCGGCCGGACCACCGACAGGACACGGGGTGCTGGAGTCGGCCGGACCACCGACAGGACACGAGGTGCTGGAGTCGGCCGGACCACCGACAGGACACGAGGTGCTGGAGTCGGCCGGACCACCGACAGGACACGAGGTGCTGGAGTCGGCCGGACCACCGACAGGAGACGGGGTGCTGGAGTCGGCCGGACCACCGACAGGACACGAGGTGCTGGAGTCGGCCGGACCACCGACAGGACACGAGGTGCTGGAGTCGGCCGGACCACCGACAGGACACGGGGGGCTGGCGTCGGCCGGGGAGCCAGTACTGGAGCCGAAACTGAAGCCGGAACCATGGCTGCTGGGGCCGGAACTGGGGCCGGAACCATGGCTGCTGGGGCCGGAACTGGGGCCGGAACCATGGCTGCTGGGGCCGGAACTGGGGCCGGAACCATGGCTGCTGGGGCCGGAACTGGGGCCGGAACCATGGCTGCTGGGGCCAGAACTGGGGCCGGAACCATGGCTGCTGGGGCCAGAACTGGGGCTGGAACCATGGCTGCTGGGGCCAGAACTGGGGCCGGAACCATGGCTGTGTGGGCCGGTACTGGAGCAGGCACCCTGGCTGCTGGGCACGGAACCGGAACACGGAACCATGGCTGTGTGGGATGGTACTGGAGCACGGTACCATGACTGTGTGGGGCTGTACTGGTGCACGGAACCATGACTGTGTGGGCCGGTACTGGAGCAGGCACCCTGGCTGCTGGGCATGGAACAGAAGCCTGGAACCTGACTGTGTGAGCCAGGTAATCGAACACGGAAGCATGGCTGTGTGGGCGAGTACTGGTGCACGGATCCATGGCTGTGTGGGCCGGTACTGGATTATGAGCTGGCTTCCTGACCTTGCGTTTCTTTGAGGTCTTTTGGAGGCTCCGTGGACCTCCAAACGCCAGACGGGATCCCAAAAAAGGGTCAGAGAATGGAGACTGGCACTCGGGGCTACGTGCAAAAACTCTGAGCCATTCAGGCAACGAGCTCCTCAGCCATGGCATGTTAGACACCGCCATCTGTGCCTTCTTGAGGATAGCCCAAGGGCAACAGGTGAACACAATCAAACAATCAGACACACCAGGGAAACTAAGACAGGAAGGCAAACACAGGAAGAAGGAACAGAGAAGACACGAGGAAAACATTTCAAAACAAAACAGGAAACCAGAAAAAGACAAGACAAAACACAACACAGACAGATCGTGACAATGAA